CTGCAGATCACCAACACTTGAAGCAAGTAAGGCGATATCATCGGGTAGTCGAGATCAGTCAGTCGATGTCCGGGTGCAAATTCAGCGCCGTCACTGTCGCGTAGGGCCCTCCCGAGGATCCAGTCAATAGCGTAGTTGAACAGTATGGGTGACAGGATACAACCCTGTCGGACGCCAGACCGAATACCGAACGATTGGGAAAGATTGTTACGGACCAGGACTCTCGCAGTAGTGGAGCGATAGTAGGCCTTGATCATGGCGATGATTTTTGCTGGTACACCATCTAGCGCCATTATCTGCCACTGGGACTCACGGTGAACGGAATCGAACGCGGCGGCAAAGTCAACGAAGCAGACGGCCCTCGGTTGTTGGTAACTATGTCGAAATTCGAGAATGCGTCTCAGTGTGAATATTTGATCTGCGCATCCACGTCCAGCACGAAATCCGGCTTGGTTGGGCCTCGTCCTTGAGTCACGCACAGCCTGGAATCGCCTGAGTAGGACAATAGCGAAGATCTTCGCAGCAACGTCGATGAGACTTATGCCGCGGTAGTTCTTGCATCTCGTCTTATCTCCCTTCTTGAGGATAGGTACAAGGATGCCTAAGCCGCAGTCATCAGGAACAACCTCGTCTCTCCACAGCCAGATATGACTATTTGGATTTTGTCAATTAGGGTTACAGGGCGTTCGGTCTCTTATTCCGGCTTCGGAGATACTGAAGTATTATCACCGCATCCGAAATCTCCAAAGGCGTCATTCTATAGATCCTCATTGGTCTGAGCTGGCGAATAGTCCAGTTCGAAGTCAGGTCGTTTAACTATTAAATTTTCATTTACACTATTCTTGGGAGTGAGGGAACGAAGCAAAATTTCGTGGAAAATTAATGCCATTTCTGCTCTTTTAAAAATCCGTTCCTTCAGGCGGACTTGAATCAGGTCATGCTGCAGTCGCCGGACATCAAGTTGGCTGTTGCCGCTGCAATACAAAAGAACAAACCCGAATTTCCCGACGCCTAGGCGGCCAACCTGCTTCTCACCTGTCTTGCGAATCATTGCAACGAAGGCCTAACTGTTGCTACTCAGGGATTCTTAAAGGCTCGAGTCCGGATTTTCTTCTTAGTCTCCCTATTTTTCTACACATGTTTATGCTCTTTATATTTGCAATTTGCTACACGAAACTTCCTTTTTGCTGTTAAAGTATCCCTGACACTTTTGTCGAAAAATTGATTTGCTCTCTCCGTTTGCGGTTTTTCTTCAATACCGTTATCATCGGCCACTGTCTGAGTTTAAAACTTCGCCTGAATTGCCTGTTGTCAAGAATAAAGAACGAAGCGCAGTTAGCGTTCTTTCCGGCCCGGGAAGCGCTGTCAGCTAAAGTCGTTTATCCTAACCAAGAGCTAGCGACTCATTTATTGCTCAGTCCTGCGCCCCTTCGTCAGCTCGGACTTCCGCTCACAAAGCTAGCTGTTGGTCGTCCAGCGTATTAGTGATCTTGGTCGGTGTTTTTCCTTTATGTAAATCATAATGCGCCTGTCTGGATTCCTTCTCTACTTGGTGAAGCCATGAGTTGACTGAGGGGTCCGGCCTGCTACAACCATATGTTAGCCGCCTTAGCCTTGCGAACTGAGAGTAAACCGGAACGTTTTGGCTTGTTAAGCTGTTATTCGCCCCCTGCCCCCTCCCCCAGTAAGTTTAATAATCTCAATTAAAGTCCAGCTACCGCGTTTTCTAGGTTACTGCGTACTAGCCACGAGTTAAGAAATGGGACTTTTAGGGGTCGATGCATGCATGACATTGAGGCCTCCATTTAAAGGTTGGTGTTGCGTCTCTAACGCCGTTTGGTCATAGGCATTTCATTGGTGTCATGAGCGTGTCCGTGTGCATCGCTCACTTTTCGGGGCTCGCTCGTCTTCGTGATGTAACCAACCGGCTGTAGATTTGGAAACAGCTGGACGCCGAATAAGCGCAAGCAAATGGACTGAGCCGTTAACCCCAGCTGCTCTGCGTGCGTGTGGTCTCGCGCGCCTGCTTCGACTGTTTTGCGCAGTCGTGAAGTAATTTACGTAAGTTGCTAGAACTACGTCGATAAATATTGCTGTAGAAGGGCTTCCTTTTCATTAAACTGCTTTCAGATTGCAGCGAAAACCACGCGAGATCATATTTGCGAAACCCTAAATCCGCGCCGCACTTGAGTTCATCTGCCAAGCCCTGCTTACCAGCTTCGGGTACGTGGTTCATACCTTGCAAGGAATCACATGATCACGGCCGCCGAGCGCGTGGAACGTATGCGAGCTCAGCCCCCAGGTTAGCCAGCCGCGGGCCTCCACAAGCCCTCTAATCATCAAATTAATTTAGTAAGCTGACCGATAGAAGCAGGGGAGCTGGTTCTAGGAAGCAGCTAAGGTGGAAGTGCGACTGCTCGGACGGGAATTCCGCCCTCGTGGTGTGTGTCTATCACCCTTATCTGCGAATGTTTTTATGATGAGCTCAATTGAGGAACCGAAACGCCGGGCGAATGCAATTCCTGTCCCGGCGTTCGAACTTTGCTAGGCTGACGCTGACTGGCTCGCATGAGGCACGCGTCGAACTCGGTGCCTGCAGGATGAGACACTACATATCCGAACTTATGACACACTAGAACTGATTAGCCCTTGCCCCAAACACTACTGAAAATTAAGAACAAACTTAGGTAACACCACTGATTCCCCGGTGCTAATTCTCCACTTCGAGTTTGTATCACAGTGGCTAGAAGGAGACTTCCTCGGCCGACATGAACCATAATCGGACTTCGCCACTTTAGTTACACTAACCGCCACGAAGAAGAACAAGGTTAAACCTTCATCAAGCTTTGGGCAGTATTTTTCCATCAAAATCTGCACGCCAAGGGCCCGCAAACAACTGCCATCTTAGGTCGCTCTGACAATCTGGGATGTCCATACCATCTTGCAAAATCCAGCGTCGATCGACCATAAGGGGAACACCGTTGGTTGTTTGCGAACTAACATACTAAAAAGTAGAATTCACCATCTGAGAGACTCAGTTTTCCGAACGACGGCACCTAAGCGAAGTAGGTACCGGATGGACTCTTTAGTGACTACTCAAAGAGAAAAGGATAAGGTGTTGGATCGCCTTCGTCATCAGAAGTCGACATATACTTTCCCTCCCACAATTAACAAGCGTTTCGTAGCAGTGAGGCACTCCATTCGAGGGGGATTTCGTCACGATCGTATGTCTAAGTCCGCCATAACGCTATGGGGATCCGTACGACTTCGTGTTTGTGCCGATGGAGAGAAACTGCCTGTTCCTAGGGACTTAAATGCACGAGTAGACCGGGATAACGCCACCTTGGAAAGGAAAGTTCGGTTGTTATGGCACAATTCATCTTGATCCCACTGTGAAAAGCGGCGTCTCGATGGGATTCGAATTCGACCGCAAAGGGAGGCCTTAGTATAGCCAACTCTCTAGCCACCCGGGCTACGAGGGTCCACTGGGAGACCTGAGTTTAATCATATCTGGGTCAAGTCAAATGTGATGTAGTAGTCATCTGGTGGATTCTAGATGGATTGCCTAGGAAACTGCTTGGACAGTCATTACCGCATCAGATTTGATGGATTCCAGGCGTTGCAGTAGGCTGGGCGGGTAACTCGGCCGAAATGTGGTTAAACTCACGTCTCCCGGTGATGCCTCGTAGCTCAGATGACTAGAGATTTGGCTGTATTAAAGCCTCTCCATGCTGTCGTGGGTTCGAATCCGGCCGAGATGCCGAGGTTTTCACGTTTGGGTCAAAATGAATTCTTCAAAATCTGACACAAGTTACTGAATATGCAGCTGATCTACCTCACGTTAAACACAATTTGAGTTAAAATTCCTCCTACAGGACCGTTTTCCGCCTTCCCGACCGCAATAAAACAAAGTGCATAAATTCTCGCCAGCGTCCCTGGTTACTGGTGAACAATCTGCTCGTCGGGAGGCGTGACCAAAAGGACAAAGTTGGTGTCTGATAGAAGCGAACAGGCGAGTTCCAGGTAGCAGTTCAGAAGATGAAGATGCGATCACTGGAACAAGAAATTTATTTGCCTGACGTTTCGGATCCTCACTCGAATCCATCATCAGAGACATTCGCAGATAAAGGTGATGGTGGCACCAGGAGTGCAGTATTTATAGCACGTGGCTGCCGTGGGACCGTATGCGCACTGCAATTAACAGTTCTCGCAATCACCGCTGGGGTCGTAATTGATGCGGTGGTTGCTTGTCGGTCCGAGTCCGAGTCGTTAATTGCCGCGATTTCGTCATCTGTGCTGGATGCAGGTGTGACGATTGCTCGGAAAACTGGCTCACTGTCACCGTGATGATTGCTCGCCCGCGCCCTCCCTACGTGACTGATTCTCCTGCCCAGGGAAAATCGCAGTACGGAATAGGGTACCGGGAGGTCATTGTGCTTGTTGATGGATTACGGGCCTGAGAACCATGACTCGAGCAGCTCACGACTCACGCGGTTGTCACCCTTTGCGAGGATTTCGGCCTCTTGAAATTTGAAAATATGGCCGGGTCCCGTCGAGTGTGTCGCCACCTGAGAGTTAGCATCTCCCCGCCTCACTGCTGCTGCGTGCTCGGCAATTCGCGTACGGAGTAATCTCCCAGTTTCTCCGACATAGCTGCTTTGTCCGCAACTACGCCAGATCCGGTAAACGACTCCAGACGTTTCCTGCCGTGGCAGCGGGTCTTTTGGCCTCATGACTTGGCGCCTAATGGTTGCTTCCGGCCTGTTTACAACCCCAACTCCAAGTGGAGTGAGAAGACGACTGACGGCTTCCGATACGCTCTTCACGTACGGAAGCGCCTGCCAAAATTTGGGGCCGGTTGGATTTGGTCTCTGGTCTCCTTTTCGTATGCACTGGTTGACAAAGTTGCGCGGGTAACCATTGGCTCTCATTACCCGTCGAAGATATTGTAATTCAGCAACCTTGTCTTCCATTTCACTGCAGTGCGTCTCAACGCGTCCCTATAGCGCCCTTACGCAACTGCGTTTGTGACTGATCGGGTGGTTGCTATTGAAGTTCAGTATTTGCGTCGTATTTGTCGCTTTCCTGAACACTTTGGTTTTTAGGCCACCACAATCTTTGCGGCAGACGAGGACATCCAGGAAGGCCAGCTGATTGTTTTCCTCCTCCTCCATCGTAAATTGAATGTCCGGGAAGACGGCGTTGAGATGTTCTTTGAACGTCAGCACCTGATCCCGTTCGATGACGACGAAGGTGTCATCCACATACCGAGCCCAAAATTTCGGTCTGTGGTGTCGGAAAACCAGCGACTCCAGCCGTTGTAGGACCGCCTCGGCTATGAGTCCCGAAATCGGCGAACCCATTCGCGTTCGCTTCACCTGCTCGTAGATTGTTCCGTCGAACGTAAAGTACGTCTTGAGACAGAACTTCAGTAACTGCATGATTTGGGCGTGTCCGAGGCGATTCTCCGTTTCGTCGTATTTCTCTCGTAGGAGTAGTTCGATGGTCTCGACTGCCAGGTGGTGCGGGATAGAAGTAAAACGGGACGTGACGTCAAAGGAAATCACGACATCGCTTGGCAGGAGACTTACTCCTTTAAGTTTCTCCAACAATTGCGTTGACGAGCTGACTGTGGTGTTCGAATCGGAGGTCAGAAACTTGAGACGTTGGAACAGCCACTTTGCCAGTCCGTAGGTTTGAGTGCCCTTTAGTGATACGATAGGCCGGAGAGGAGCGCCCTCTTTGTGCACTTTTGGGCGACCGTAGAATCGGGCTAGGGCCGTTTCTTGTGCTCTCGCCATGCGTCGGTCGATTGGCGATATTGCACCTGGTGCCACCATCACCTTTATCTGTGAATGTCTCTGATGATTGATTCGATTGAGGATCCGAAGCGTCAGGCAAATAAATTTCTTGTTCCAGTGATCGCATCTTCATCTTCTAAAGTTGGTGTCTGTTGACTCTGACTGTCCGTTTTCTGTGCATGATGTCAGGACATTAAGAAATGATGCCCACCCGAAAGCCCCGGGTGCCGACTCGATTCTAACTGGTTCGCCAGAATAGTGGCCCTCAGATTTTAAAAAATGGTTGACTTGACTTCTCTAAATGATGCAGGTAAAATTATGAGTCGCAAAGGAATTCATGGACATAACTATTAGTAACCTCTTCAAAGAAAGGTAAACCCGCGAGTACGCCATATTCGTCAGGACATCCTCCTTCTTGAAGAAGGAGACACGATCGCCGGGACAAGAGCTTTACTAGCCTGACGTTTCGGATTCTTACTCGAATCCATCATCAGAGGCAAAAAGAGCAGAAACGGGTGGTTGTTGCACGAGGGGCTGCAACATTTATAGGATGCAGTAGCCATGCTACCGCATACCTATGAACATTCATGGCTCCCCCCTTCATCCGGGATCGTCGCACTTGGTGTGATCATAGCTTGATGGCCGACATTCGAGTTGTTAATTTCTGCAATTTCATCATGTGCGTTGGGTGTTGACGTGATGATTGCTCGGCCATCTGACGCACCGACCCCGGTGTTGGGAAAAGTGTTCACCTCTGCGCTCCCCGCATGGCTTGTTACTCCGCCCAGGCGAAATTTTAGCACGCAGTATGGAGTGGGAAGATCGTTGCACTTGTTGATGGACTGGGGGCCAGTAAACCATGATTCCAGTAGATCCCGGCTCACGCGGTTGTCACCTGTTGCGAGAATTTAGGCCTCATCGAATTTGAATGTGTGGCCGGTTCTCGTCGAATGAGCCGCAAATTGAGAGCTGGCGTCATTTCTGCGCACCGCTGCCGCGTGTTCGGCCATTCTCGTTCGGAGCTGTCTTCCGGTTTCTTCGACGTAGTTGCTTTGTCCGCAACTGCACCAGATCCGATAAACGACTCCAGACGTTTCTAGCCGTGGCAGTGGGTCTTTCGGTTTCATGGCCAGACGCCTGATGGTTGCCTCTGGTCTGTGTGCCACTCCAACCCCAAGTGGTGCGAGAAGGCGGCCGACAGCTTCCGAAACGTTCTTGACATGCGGAAGTGCCCGCCAAGATTTAGTGTCCGTGCGGTTAGGCCTTTCGTCCCTTTTGCATATGCACCGGTCGACGAAGTTGCGCGGGTAGCCATCGGCTTTGAAGACCCGTCGGAGGTATTGTAGTTCGGCAATTTTGTCTTTCTCCTCCTTCTCTGCATTGCTGGAAAAATCATTTTAGGGCTTTTATCGTTTGCATCTCCACCTGGAAAAGGGATCCCACCCAGGGGCAATGAAAGTACTAGGCAGTGGGGAATGGCTTTCATACCATTGACAGTTGCACGAGGACCTTCAACACCGCAAATTAAGACGGGGTCGTGGAAAGTAGAAATTCGAACTGCGCGACGGCAAGTTGGCACACCTGAAGGACAACGGGTCGACCATTGAGGTGTTAGCTGTGACAAATGAGGTGAGACAATGCTGTGTCCCTTCCAGCCTCAATCTGCCTCATGTTTTATGCGATGTTTATGGACACCTGTTGATAGGCTTAACCGGGCACCGACGTAAACTGTCGAACTCTCAGGAAACTGCTGAACGCGCGCCGTATTCAGGCCGTCAAAAAACCTCCAAAGTCATAATGAGGGACGGCCTCTTTGTTGATGACGGTGCAGTGGACACCACAACTGGAGCGGACCTGTATCCGAATCTGTTCTCCAAGCCCACAGTTTAGCAGGAAATGAGAAACACGCGCCAACTGTCAATGGTAATCGATCTGGAGCAATAAACCATTTCTTATACCGGGGCAAGGTTTTCTCACAGACTATCAGGGCCGATAACAAAGCTGCGACCTGGATGTCTAGGGTTAGCCAGACTTTTTATAGGCTCATGCATTTACCCCAGAATCGTCGAGAGATCTTTGTAAGCACGAAATCGGAAAATCGCAGGGCCGTCGTCCTGGCAACGTTTCTCTACGACCCAGAAACGTGGACCGCATCGCAACCAAGAGCGAAGGCTGGTCCACTGTCTGCGAATGAAGCAAGTGGGGAAGGATGGAGTTCGAAGTGATGTCCGAAGCCCACGTGCCGGGGGAAACTGGCGTGTCCTTAAAGTCTATGGCCTGCTGAGGCAGATTCGACTTCCATGGCGCGGTCATGTCATGAGGAGGACCTGCCTGATCGGCCTTTCTGCGGTAAGATCGCCACAGGCCTCCGCAGGCGCAGTGAAGAAAAATTACGATGCAAAGACGTCCTGAGCGCCTCATTTAAGTGCAACGAAATTGATCAATGACCCTGAGAAACAAGTCTACAGGACCAGCGTACATGGTGGTTCGCTGCGGAGACAGTCATCCTCCAGACCATCTGAATACGCGAAATCAGTGCAACACGACAATCGGCAACGGCGCCGTACGAGGCCCATGCTTGCATATTACCTGTTACTGTCTACTGAAATCCACAAGAGTAACTTTAGTTTGCCACATGTCACTGTACATCCGCCCTGCGATGTTATCCCTTCAGTATCTGCTATTAACTTTCGTGTAAGGTCCGAACTGACTCCGTCGTACACCTTCGTATCCTCAGCAACCCCAAGATGATCAGGCGATTTCCCACACCACAAAACACTACAGCCTGCGGAAGATTTCCAGTCCACCTGTCTTCACTGTGATTCCAGGATTGGATCCCGTTCTATCTTGACCAGACGAAATCCTTCAGTCAACTCCATTACTGCCACAGTCAAGCATTCATACCACACGTGCGTACCAGCACAATCTGCATACATGCTCAGCGCTCGCCAACTCTTTCTCGCTGCAAACGCACACTTGCCGTAATCGTCCTGAAGGGCTGTTAACTCGGTACTGCTCGGGAGTAAGGGCCGGGTTACAGTGAATATCTCTTAACATTTGATTCTAGGGACCAGAATGTTTGTGACTCCACCTCTGACATCGGAACTATTTTCTTAAGATAAAGCTGTGGAATGCAACATTTTGCAAGCAGTGATCAGAGCTACCCACGATTAGTGCGTAATATACGGGTGTGGTAGACAGGAGGAACTCACGAAACATGATCCGTCAATCGCCTAAGGTTAATTTGGGTACGACGGACGGTACGATGTTCACTTACGTGAATGACCTGCAAAGTAAATGACTCGTAGGTATGACCTTCACAAACGACTGTCTTAAGATACATGCGTTTTTCCAGAAAAAATTGGCATGATCCCGTATGTCGTTTTTTGGTGGTTTTGTTTCTAGTGACACCAGTGATAGCTTCAGCGACAATGTGGTGTTTTCAGTGTTTGGGAATGTTCAATCGGTCGCAGCGCATAAAGCATCTTTCCCCCTCGTTTTGGTGGAAACTCGACGGATCACTCTCTTGGCGAATGCGGCACAGCATACTAAGTCGAGCACAGAACCACTTTCTTTTCCCCTTGAACGAGATGAAGAACACCTTCTTGTCGCCATATTTCAAGGGCCGGCTGTCAAGTGGTCTGGATACCTTCACCGTCCCGCGTCTTTCTATCGACGGCTATGACCTTCGGGCCGGTGGTGGAGACTGACGAAGGAAAAGGTGAGAAATCCCACTAATAATTTTGTCTGCGACTGACTATGGCATTGACAACAACCGCATTTATGTTAGAGAGGTAGGGTTAGACCCCAGAAACGCTGCGTTTTTTTCATCATTAAGGCCGTACGTGCGCCAGGTTGTACGCCACACGCAGTATTGGCTCCCTAATCCGATTATTCCCACCAAACTCCGGGAGCCTGGATGTCAGTAGGTCAGTGTTGCCGTCATTGTACGTGTAGCCGGCGGGTTAGCGTTTACTTTTCACTACGACGCAGACTACAGTTGACTTACTCGGTACACAGCTCATCGGCAAGAGGGGGGATTTTTTGGCTTCCGCTGATACTGAGACATAAATCACAACCCGAGGATAGCTAATGACCACGGCGCATTAGTAGAATGTCAAAATTCGGAACTGAATGCGTCTTGGTCCTTTGATGGTGCCCTGCCTGTAAAGCATCAGAAGGGGGCACTTTGCATCACCTTGAGATACCATATGACCGACAGTCCAGTAACCAGCCGTGTACTCGTCAGCCCCGCCGTCGTGCGTGGTCGTTTTATGTCGCAACTCACTCTTTTAGGCTGTCCAGTACCCACTTCAAGTAGATAAGCCAAGTAGGCAAGGTACAGATTACCAAACAGTGCCAACTTGCTGATTCCCTTGCATAGTTCCCTACCTTCTTTTTTTCTTCATAAAACTCATGCCCGCGGCAGGTAGGACGGGAGTTTTGTTAAGTACCGAAAATGAACGACCAAATAGTTCGCCTTCGCCTTCAGAATATTGCGGGAGTTAGTAACCTTACAAATGAAAATAGGTGTAAACAGTGATCTACTTCTTGGCAATGTCGCATAAGAGCAGGGAACACCAGAAGTCTTGAGAATAGTCGACTACAACAAGGGAATGATGATAGTAGTACTAGAATTGGGACACTATCAAATGGCCCGGACAAAGGAACAAGGAACTACGCAAGTGAGTAGAGTCGGCCGGGCCTCGCAAAACGAAGGTCGTGACCAAAGTAAAGAACGGGACTTATACGACGTACAATGGCAATTTTTTCAATAACAGATATTGTCGCCCACAATCTGTCCCTGGCCTGATCGAAGGAAGCAATAGTTCCCAAAATGCACGTGGCTTACCTGAGATTCTCGGTTTTTAAAGGGAAAGCACCAACAGTGATTCTATCCCCCTTTCACTCATAGCAGCCTCGGTGGGACGAGCAAGAAAGTGATTCTTGGCTGAGGTTTGACTCTCAGGTACGTCCACCAGGACTTACGAACCACTGACCGAAGTGTCCAAATACCTTTTAACTGTAATTATTACTGAGCCGGGTTTGTAGGCCTAATGTAAGGCTTCACATTAATACGTGTGCAGTGGCATGCTGACTCCCACGGGAAGTTTGATTAACCAATCACGGAAGTCCCACTCTACTTGCTTAATGTGTATGTTACAGTCTTCGACGCACCGACTGAGTTGGATAATTTCTGGTAAAATAGCATCAAAAACTACCCCTGCCGATTCTTCAAAGGTTCCTGACTCTATTGACTTTAGTGTGGGGTATTTTGACTAAGAAGCTTCTGACAAAGACGTTTTATACTGTACCTGGTTGTAACTTCTACCAAGCGTTCTAAACTACATGGCATATGCGGTTTTAGAGAGCCACTGCATTATGGAAGGAAACACTGAGTCTTTTGAAAGTACTGTATTATATCAGGCGAATATTGAATTTTCGAGGAAAACCGAAGTAAGTTAATACCAGGACTTCCTGCGAAAAGTACCGACAATGAAAATGAAGACTCGGATGGCCATCTCTAGCTAATTAGTCGTCATTAGAAGCACAGTTAACATTCCCGAACGCAACCGACAGGATAACTGGTCCGTGACTGAGTGGCAGAACGTTTGACTCAAAGACCCCGAGGTACGAGTGCCAGGTGTCCTAAACCTGGGATTGGATATAGCTAGCTGATGAAGGTCAATGAGACAGTAATGATCGTTCCGGTAAACGCCGTCGTTGTCAGTAGTCTGTACAACATATATTCCTGACCGGAATGCAACTGTTTTCGTGGAAACAAGGAGGAGCATAAAGTCCCAACAGGAAAAAAATTAATGGAAGCGAATATGCGAGTCCCAGGTTCTTGTTTTAAAAAAGATGAACGCGCGACCGCCGGGACAGTACGTGTAGTAGTCTGGGCTTTCGGTCTCGTACAAGAGGTCATAATCAGACACTGTGAGAGTGCGGCGTCAGATGAACAGTTTTGTAGTAAAACAAAGAAGGAGGGATAGGAATGGGGGGCTGGTGTTCGCGATAAGGCTGAATCCACACTGTCTCACGGCAGCGTGACTGCATGCACCCTTGGCTGGGAATTGGGTTTTGCCTCTTGGTCGCGAGAACGGAGCGTGTCATAGCAGGGGAGTATATCAACATGTCTTTTAACGGAGTTGGTATCAGACACCCAAGCCTCCAGCAGTTCTCGCCCTGTCTTATTTGTGGGCCGCGAAGATGAATTCGTGGCCTTCCTCGAGGGCGTCAGTAGCTAACTAAGACAGTGGGTCGCCTCTCCGGACTGCCCGTTTGTGCTCTGTTATTCGCGCTCTAAGCCGTCGTCCGGTCTGTCTTGTATGACGGCGAGGACAGTCACGGCATGGGATCTGATAAACGACACCAGATTTTTCTCCTGCGTCTAGTCGGTCTTTCACTTGCATGATCTTGTTGCGCATGGTAGCTGTCAGGCGGTGGGCGATACCCACGCTGAGCTCTGCAGCGATGTGTTCCGTTGCGTCTGATACGTTCTTTATATGCGGTGTAGGGTCTCAGTGTGTTTGTGGCTCTCTTACGTTTGCTCGCCGTGGGTGTGTGCAGGAGCAGCGGCTGTTTGGGTATCCATTCCTAGCCAGTTGGTCCCGAAGATGCTGTAGTTCTCTCACGGACTGGCGTCCACGTGGTGACTACCGACGATTAAACAACTGCACTGTCCCTCACAGATACCCGCTTCCCCACCTCCAAGACTTCCTCCCGCCTAGCCGGAGCAATTATATTTTCAAGCATGGACCCAGTACAAGCCTTCAACCCAATCCCCGTTGCTCCAGAATACATCCCAAAAACGGCAATTACAACTCCATTCGGTCTTTCCGAGTTCGTCAGGATGCCGTTTGGGCACCGCAACTCCGCCCAAAATTTTTAACGTTTCATTAACGAGGTCCTCCGCGACTAACCCTTCGTTTTTGTTATGTCGACGATCCTCTAGTTGCAAGTTCCGGTGAGCACAACCTATACGCCTCAATTTTGAGCGGTTGAGCCAATTTGGCGTTTTATCAACCCCTCCAAATGCGCTTTTGGCGTTCCCTCGCCCTTTTTCCTAGAAAATCGCGTAGATACTTTCTGATGTTATCCCATAGACGCTAAAGTTTCAGCTAATCGTGAGTTCCCTGTTCCCACTTCTTTCCGACAACTACGCCGTTTCACAGGCCTTGTCAATTTTTACCGACATTTTATCCCTGACTGCGCTCAACTAATGCTGCCCTTCACAAATCTTTTACGGAGCAAAACCGCGAACCTTCTTTTCCTGATACAGTCGTGGACGCTTTCTAACGTGCCAAAGAGACCCTTGCGGATGCAACTGCTCTTTCTCACCCTCTAAGTGATGCCCGGCTGTCGATTATAGCTGACGCCGCCAATTGCGCCATAGGTGCAGCCCTCCAGCGGAAGACCCCAACGGGCATCCAAACTCTATCCTTCTACTTTGCTAAATTGACACCCCCTTAAACTCGTTAGAGCACTTTTGGCAGAGAACTCCTAGCCATTTATCTCGCCATGAAGAATTCTCGTAATTACATTGAAGGCAGGGATCCTCGTGTTTTCCCTGACCATAAACCTCTTACCTATGCCTTCTCCACTCCCTGTGACAAGTATTCGCTCCGTGAGGTCCGCCATCTAGATTTTATCTCTCACTGTACCGCATATATTGGATTTCTTAAAGAACCCTCCACACTGGTCGCTGACTGTCTATCCCGACCTAGAATAAATGCCATTCCAGCCGTTCTATCGACCTTGAGCGCATGGTTGAGCTGCAGCAACAGCCGGATTTTTCTGAACAACTGGAGCATACTACCCTTCACCTTAAAGCCACCCCTCTGTTCGCCAACTCCAGTTCAATCTTTGGCGAGTCCACTGGTGGATATCAGTGTTCATGCTGAGCCAGACGAACCGGTCGCCCACGAGGCGCTAATTAGCCGTGATGCCAGGGTGGGCAAGATTGTGTAACGCGGTGGAGATTCCACGTCGCATCTCGTTTGGTACTATAGGGCGAGAGGAACTGCGAAACAAATCGTCAACTCCAGTTCAATCTTGTGCGACTTGTCTCGCGGTTCCTCTCGCCCTATAGTACCAAGCGAGATGCGACGTGGCATTTTCACCGAGTTACACAATCTCGCCCACCCTGGCATCACGGCCAATCAGCGTCTTGTCGGCGACCGGTTCGTCTGACCCAACATGAGAACATGTCCCGTAACCCGGTCCGTGAACAGAATTCCAATATACTGGAATTTATGTTCGCTCAGAGTTAAAAAGGTCTTTGAAAAAAATGAAATTATTGTAAATGCTAGAGGAGAAGACAAGTCCGACAGGTTTTCAGTTGGCTGAAAACAGCCTAATTCATGCTGATCAGCCAGCTATACCAAGTGACAGGGGGAAAAACTAAATGAAATTCCGAAAATCATCAAGCACAGCCGTCAGTGGGTGCGGTAAAGGTAAGTAACGGTAGTGAAGATGTCATGCCGAACTGGATCAGTGCATTAGTAGCAGTCCGCTCTCCTGATCGTCGCCACTTTCTCGCGCCGCCATTCTGTCAGCCCCATAGTAATGTTTTTCCAGCATAATATGTCTTCACCGACTTGTGGTTTGGGAATCTTCGTTGTTGACTATTGGTAACTCTCGCGTCGACTCCCCATTT